TTTGTGGCCATCAAATTGGTATTGATAGAAATACTATCCAACCAATCATAACATTTTCCTAGGAATACTTACTAAATCGGAAAGCCGTTTGTGATCCAGTGGCGTGTTATTGGGTTATCCAGAAACGGAAACTTGTAGCTGTTGTAACAAAGCAACCTCATTTGTTACTGAAATGTTGCGTTTGTCACAAATTGTTTTATCGCACGTGCTCTATTATCACTTCATCGGAAACTAGACTGATTAATTCTGAAAAATCGGTGACTTGGACATGCCAAAAGTGCGACCAGATTGGTAATGATATCAACTCATTGAAGGCGGTTATAGTTGCTCTTCAAGATGAGATCAAAAACATCAAGCCTGTTGATAACACAACACTTAATAATACCCAGTTTGAGGAAGTCATCCAAGAGGTTTTTGAAAGACAAAACCGAAAACGCAATTTGATTATGTTTGGAATGTCTCAAAAGAAGAACGAGTCTCCTCTGAAAAAAGTGAGATATCAAAATTACTACCGTACCTTTCTCCTGGGACCGACTTACCTATCACTAATGACTTCTTTAATGCAGTGAGTTCTAGAGAATTAGATGTTATATGTTTGAGTGAAACTTGGCTTTCCAGTGTATTCGATGCAGAGCTTTTCCCAAGCAACTACAATATCCTAAGATGTGACAGAAATTTTCAACAATAAAGTCACCAAAAATTCCAGCCCATACATTTAATTTTTGTGGACGTTGAGTATGCACTTCACAAAAAATGTGAGGATTTGAATCAGCCCAATAGCGATAATTATGGCGATTAACTGTGCCATTTAAAAAAGAAGAACATTCATCACTGAAGCAAATGTTGAAACAAAATAAGGACTTTCCACCGCTCGTTTTATAACCAACTCGCAAAACTGCAAGCGTCGATCAAAATCATCTTCATTCAGTTCTTGCATTAATTGTATCTTGTAAGGATGCATTTTGTGGGTTTTCAAAATACGCCGAATGCTAGTTCGTGACACCCCGGAAACAAATGTTAACTTTCTTTTGCTCAAAGTATGGTCAAGCTCAACATAACCCAGAATTGCCACTTGTATCACCTCATTTGTTACTGGTGGTTCGATTTGCCGTTTTTTATTTGCTACAGATCCAGTTGCGCGAAATTTTGCAATTAAATCAAAAACATACTGTCGCAACATATTCTTCCCATGTTATTAATAGAACAGTTCAGCGGCTCTCGCAGCACAACATCTATTTCCATAGTACATTCAACATGTGAGTGGGTGTGAGTGTTCACAGTGTGCTCCTGCTTAGCGAGGGATTTGTGTGGGTTAAAAATTGAAATAAATTTCAAATTTTATACCATCTGAACATAGATTTGTGGCCATCAAATTGGTATTGATAGAAATACTATCCAACCAATCATAACATTTTCCTAGGAATACTTACTAAATCGGAAAGCCGTTTGTGATCCAGTGGCGTGTTATTGGGTTATCCAGAAACGGAAACTTGTAGCTGTTGTAACAAAGCAACCTCATTTGTTACTGAAATGTTGCGTTTGTCACAAATTGTTTTATCGCACGTGCTCTATTATCACTTCATCGGAAACTAGACTGATTAATTCTGAAAAATCGGTGACTTGGACATGCCAAAAGTGCGACCAGATTGGTAATGATATCAACTCATTGAAGGCGGTTATAGTTGCTCTTCAAGATGAGATCAAAAACATCAAGCCTGTTGATAACACAACACTTAATAATACCCAGTTTGAGGAAGTCATCCAAGAGGTTTTTGAAAGACAAAACCGAAAACGCAATTTGATTATTTTTGGCATGTCTCAAAAGAAGAACGAGTCTCCTCTGAAAAAAGTGAGATATCAAAATTACTACCGTACCTTTCTCCTGGGACCGACTTACCTATCACTAATGACTTCTTTAATGCAGTGAGTTCTAGAGAATTAGATGTTATATGTTTGAGTGAAACTTGGCTTTCCAGTGTATTCGATGCAGAGCTTTTCCCAAGCAACTACAATATCCTAAGATGTGACAGAAATTTCAGCCAAACAAACACAACCAGAGGAGGAGGGGTTATTCTCACTCTTCAAAATCATTTGAAATTCAAATCCATAGACTCGACGTGTTTGATCTCCGCAACACCTTTTATAGATATAGTTGGTTGCAAATTGCTTAATAATTCGAATTTAATTTTATTTGTTATTTATATCAAAAACCTGAAAAAACATAAAACATATTTTTATCAGCAGCAATTCATCACGTTGAGAAGTGAAGTGAAAGAACAAATAAACAATGCTTATAAAAACTCCCTTTATAAAAGTGAACGCAAAATTAGCGAAGATCCAAGTGCATTTTGGAATTTCATGCAGAACAAAAGAGGTAACTCGAAAACTCCCGGAGTTATGAATGATGAAACTAAAACTTACACCAAACCGCAAGAAATTATGTATGCATTTGCAAACTTCTTTAAAAGTGTTTATATTATATCTGATGTCTCTTCATGTTATACCCTTGATAACTGCACAAATAATTTACCAACAATAATTATCGATCAGATGAATGAAATCGAAGTTGCGAGAAAACTGAAAAATAAAATAATTGTCGGTCCTGATCAAATACCAAGTTTCGTAGTTCAAGATTGTATTAACCCTTCACTGATTCCCCTACTTCATATATATAATCTTTGTTTGAAAACTTGTGAGTTCCCTGACCTTTGAAGAAAAGCTCGAGTATGCCCAATTTTCAAAAGGGTGATATTACATCAATAAAAAACTATAGAGCCATTTCAATATTGAGCAATTATACTAATATTTACAATCCAATACGAAATATCATATCAGATGATCAGCATGGGTTTGTAGAAAACAAGTCGTGCATAACCAATCTTGCATGTCTTTCATAATGTGTCTCTGAAGCCTTGGATAGGAAACTGCAGGTTGACGTTATTTATACAGACATGCAAAAAGCTTTTGATCAAATAGATTTATTCATTCTTCTCAAGCGTCTCTCAGAATTTGGTTTTTCAGCAAAATTGGTTAAACTCATGTCAAACTATCTAATCGATAGAAAACAATATGTAGAGTATGAAGGCTTCAAATCTGCTTTATATACTCTCCAGTTCCGGAGTACCCCAAGGCTTGAATTTAGGACCTCTTTTGTTCTTGATTTTCATTAACAATTCAACTAAAATAATAAACAATTCAAAACTGCTCTACGTTGATGACCTTAAAATATTCAAGGTGATAAAAAATTATGGAGACTGCTTAAAATTACAGTATGAATCAGATCTGATATATGATTGGTGTTCCAATAACCATTTGAATCTCAACACTGCTAAATGTCATGTATTGTATTTTTCCAGAAAAGAAAGTCTAATACAATTTACTTACGAAATTGATAACAATACCATAAGTCGAGTTAATGGAATAAAAGACTTGGCATTCATTTTGATCAGAAATTCACTTTTGTTTCACATATAGACCAAGCTGTTTCATCCGCTAGTCGAATGTTGGGCTTCATAATGAGGAACACCAGAGAATTTAGAGATACTGAGGTGATAATCACGCTATTCTATGCTTATGTGAGGTCCAAACTAAAATAATCTGGTATCCCATTTATAATTCTCATATACAGCAAATTGAAGCTGTCCAAAGAAAGTTTTTGAAATTTTTGCCTTTTCGCACTATAGGTATTTACCCCCAAAGAGGAATTGACTATTCCATCCGTTTGAACTAATTCAATATCATATCACTGAATACACGTAGATTTCTCATTACGGTCACATTTTTATATAATTCAATAAATAATAACATCTCCTCTACTCCGCTCTTACAAAAAATAAATTTTTATGTACCACGCCTCAACTCAAGATACGAGAGAACATTTGAGCAGTGGCATACAACAATTTTTTACTATTAACAATATTGAAAAAGTTAATTATCGGAAAGAACTATTTTAAATACGTCCAAATTCAAAAAAATATACAGCATTGTTTAGAGAATTCCATGATCTTTCAAACAATGTGAGAATCGCCCCCTATTCCCTATCAAAATTCCAAGGGTTGTTCACCCCTCTGCTCCGGGGTTGAAGTGACGGCGCTGTAAATGGGGAAAAAATGTTCCCCTCCCAATAAAAATCGACATATCTGAGCGTTTTATCGGATATCGGATTTGCAAGATTGGTACCCAAAACCTCCATGTCAAGTTTTCAATGGCCCACCCTGTATATTGTTCTGTAAATGGATTCATCTGCTGGGCGATAACTTTTGTTTTTTTTTTTTCGTCTTCTTTCTTCATATTCAATTTGTAATAAAATACTTTTCATTCATTAACCAACTCGGTGAAGTTCGTTTCATACTGGGATCCTATATTATTATAGTGGGAAAAACTACGGAGTACCTACCACCACCATCTAGTCAGAATTATCAATTTTTGGCTGTACAGAGAGCTGAAATCTTTATTATACCCAAAATATCTAGAAAGTATTCAATTCTCTTTCATTTATTCAAAACTTCAATACTTGATTTGTTTGAGTCACTGCCACAAAATCGAATTTGAAAGCTTCGAAAGCTACAAAATAAAGCGATAAAATGTATTCAGGATATGCCATTCGTATAAATAACTATCTTAAAATGTATAGCAACCTGCCCGAACACATGATGAATGATACTTTTGCTACTTAATACAGTTAACCGTATCAAAGAATTTCATATTTGTCAAAAAATACTTAATCAATACAAAGAATAATAAACACTTTTGGATTTCATCTTCTTCTTATAGATTTTCATCGAATATCCGACAATTTCATCAAATTATTTAAGTAAATATCAATAATATATATTATTTTTATCGAATATCTCCACTTCTCCGAACTCACAATGCTAACGCTTCTGTGGATAATCGAAAGAGCTGACGATATTTTGTGAAAAAATCAACCTAGCAACCAACTTGGCACCCAATCCGTACATTCGCGCCCTTCATTCCTATGAAAATATAACGAACCTTACCTAAAACAATCCACTTAGGACCGTCTCCAGTCAAATTAGTCTGTTCTCTCATGATCACGGAAAATAAACCATCTTTCCATTCTCTGGTGGCGGGGTTAATTACTCCGAACAGTTCGTCGTTGGTGACAGCTTTGGGATTCAAATCATTATAAAACGGTTTGAGTTTTTGATTGGCGTAAGTTTTGTTCAGCGTTTTCCACACCATGCTTTTTCCAGTTCCTATTAAATTGATACTAGTTTAAACAGAATTGAAATGTGAAAGATGATTAATAGTCCTTCGAATTAGAAAATTGATATATATCTTGAAATAATTGGAAAATTAAGGGGTGTGTGTATTCTTGAAACCCAATGAGATATCATTATTATCCAGTCTCAACCGTGTCGAAGGTCTTCCATTTCATACTTTTCCAACAGATATAATAGAGCAGAAGCCAGAGAATGCCAGACCTACCCCACAATTCTTCCACAAAAAATGTAGTCGACTTCAATAAGAGAGCTTTTTAGTGAAATAACCCCGCTGGAGACTATTTTCATTATTTTGATTAGTTTAATTAGTCAACTGACTTGAATAGTGCGCAAGTTTTCATACAAAGCATTCTAATTGAAACGTGTCACTCTGAATAAGTTATTCCACTTATTCGGAATGGCACATCAACATTGAACGTAAAAATCAAACATTCATCGACCCCTATCCAACAATTACCCACATGTCAAAAAATTCAAATGAAAATGATAGTTGAAGTTTTTGAGGCTTTTTTATTCTATATCCAACTCACGGACGTAAAAAATAAAAAGACACAGCAAACCAATGTCTACGACACAGATTGTGTTGAAGTCGCTAGATTCGAGGGCACGCGCATTACGCTAAAAAAAGACCTGCGCTTTTTTCAAGAACAGATCACCAGCACTACAGAAAAATCCTCAAGGCGCCCTCCGAGCGGTGCCTATGCGAATGTAGCGATTCACATTGGATTTGAATCGCTGGAGATTAAATTCATTCGGAAAAACGTTTTCAGGAAGTTCATTCCTTATAAACACAGTTCTCCAGATGAAAGATTCCTTAAACAGTGGTGAAGTTCGAGGTGTAATGACTTGAACCTCAAAACGATAAGCAACCAAAGTCCGTCGTATATTTCTGATATGTACCGCTCCCGNGAAATTCAATGGAGATGTTAAACAATGGATGGGACTTTGGGGTCAGTTCCGTAAGATAGACGAGGACGAAGGCATCGATCAGGATGATAAATTTCAATACCTCCTGCAAGCCATAGAACCAGGATCTCCTGCAGAATCATTAGTGGAAAGTTTTCCACCGTCAGGGGCTAACTATAAAAATGCCATTGCTAAGCTCAAGACTAGATTCGCCAGAGATGAATTTTCGATAGAGGTGTATGTGAGGGAATAGCTCAATTTAGTTTTGAAACAAGCTAATATTGACAAATCAGATATGCCACTGACGGTTTCATATGATTCTTCAGAAACACAGTTAAGGGCTCTTGAATCTAGTAACAAATATGCTTCTATATTATACCCTTCAGTTGAATCTGCTCTTCCTGATGACATATTTAAGGTGTGGGAGATACACATAAGTAGTTCCAGTAGGGTATTAAAAGGGAAATCTAGCAGTATTTCTCATTCTTCCAATGATCATTCTACTAATCATTCACAAATGTTATTAGATTTCCTCAAGAATGAAGTAGAAAGTAAAGAGCGTATACGCTTGGCCAGGAACAGCTTCGTTTCTGGGAAGGATCCAAAATATGGTGTGAGAGGTCAAATAATCGACAGAGTTTCACATAAGGTAACACATCAAAATCAAAGTGATTCTGAATTGTATACAGCAGCCACGATTCTCTCAACTGGACAAAGGGGTAACAAAAAGATTTTTCAATGCTTATTCTGCGATAAAAAATCACATTAAAGTAAAGATTGTTTCATAGCCCGTTCATTCACTTTTACTAAAAGAAAAGATATTGTCACCAAAAAGAATGCTTGCTTTGCTTGCCTCAAGCCTAATCATAACATCAAAAATTATAAAACCATTGTTAAATGTGTAGTTTGTAGCAAAAACCATTATCCTATTCTTTGTGCTGAGTAGGCTACAAAATCTGATATAAAATTAAATGAAAATACAGTTTCTAATAGTGAACAGAATGATGAAAATGTTTTATTCAATAAAAACAGTAATGGTACTTCATTGCAAACTGTTTCTATAAGGATTGTCAGTAAAAATGGCTCCAAAGTTGTCAGAGCTTTATTGGATTCAGCATTTCAACGATCTTATGTTTTGACAGAGTACGCTGTGAATTTAGGTTTTGAAAAAATAGGGTATGAAAACATTATACAGAGTGTTTTTGGAGGAGTACAGTTAAATCCCAAAATTCATACTCTATACGAGATAGAAATTCATAACTTAAGTAGTACATTTTGCTGTAAAGTTAAAGCTCTTGAACTAACAAAAATATGTAATTATTCTCTACCTTTCCATGATATTGATATTATTCGTGAGTTGAGAAATGAAGATATAGTTGTTTCAGATTCTTGTATTGAATCTACTGAGATCAGCTTACTTTTAGGTGCAGATATTTATGGAAAATTGTTGACTGGGAAGCTAGAAAACGTAGATAATGATTTAGTTGCCATAGAAACTCGTTTAGGGTAGACATATTTGGGAAAATGTCAAAGCGATAATGATATTTTCGATACACTATGTAGTTTTGATGACATAAACATAGCCAGTTTATGGAGTTTGGATATTCTGGGAATTCCAGATCCTATAGCTGTCAAAAGTGAAGACGTGGATGCTGAAACAATAAGACGGTTTATGAATCAATTCGTCGTAATATCAGTAACCGATATGAAGTTGAACTTTCTTGGGTAGAGGATGGTCCAAAATTTCTAGGTAGTATGGAATCCGCGGAAAAAATACTTATTTTTACAACTAAGAAGTTAATCAGTCTCAACCAATTTGTAGAATATAATAAGATTTTTGAAGACTGGAAAACTTCAGGTATAATTGAGGAGGTTCAAAACGATGATAAAAATATTTCAGGTCATTTCATACTGCATCACCCTGTATTCAAAGATTCTAGTAGTACAATAAAGATCGGGCCAGTTTTTGATGCCTCGGCGAAAAGTCGTGATGGTATGTCACTGAACGATTGTTTAGAAAAGGGACCTAATTTAACAGAGTTGATACCCAATATTATCATGAAGTTCAGAGTAGGATTAATTGAAGTGATTTCAGATATAAAAAGAGCATTTCTCCAGATTAGTATAGCACCCAAAGATAGGGATTTTTAAAGATTTTTATGGTGGAAAGATCAATCTCGTACTGAAATTATCCAATATCGTCATACAAGAGTAGTATTTGGTGTCTCGTCCAGCCGTTTTTTGTTAGTGGCCACTATTGAATATCATTTGGATACAGTTCTTCAGTCTTTCAAGTATATTGCAGATGAGCTCAAAGAATCATTTTATATTGATAATTGCGTCACAAGTGTTAACAATCGAGGCGAGTTGGAAACATTTATCATTGAGTCCAAATGTATCATGGATATGGCACAATTTGATTTAAGGGGTTGGATATACAATCACAAAAATATTTTTGAGGGTTAAATTAATGAAATGCCTACTATATCTTAAAATTAGTTGGGATAGCAAGTTACCTGAAGATATTGAAAGAGGCTTCAAAAATTGGTTGAGTCAAGTTGCATAACCAAAGAAAATAGTTTTGAATAGTCTGAACATGTTTCATTACATATATTCACTGATGCAAGTAAATTATCGTTTGCTGCATGTATTTTCATTAGAGTTAAAGAAAAGGGATTCGTGAGATCACACTTACTACAGGCCAAATCTAGAATAGCTCCAATTAAGATTATCATTATACCCAGTTTAGAGTTGTTAGGTGCTGTTCTGGGATGCAGACTACTTCAGTCAGTGAAAAGAGTGAAATGTTTTCGAAATATAGATACTTTCTTTTGGTGTGATTCGAAAGTTGTTTTGACATGGATTGAAACTAATTCGAATTGGAATACATCTGTTTCGAACAGAGTCGCTGAAATTCATGCAAATAGTGATATGAATAGATGGAATTTTGTACCAGGTAATCAAAATGCAGCAGACCTGCCATCGAGAGGATGTAGTCCTAAATAATTATCAGAAACTCAATGGTGGAATGGTCCTAAGTGGTTGAATGGAGAAATTGAATTATGGCCATCTATGAATGATCAGTTTTCTGAGAAGGAGGCATACAATGAGGCAAGAAAATGCGTATTTTCGAACCAAATGGTTTTGGAAAATAAATTGAGCTCTACAATATTTCAATATTTTTCCTAGTATTCAAAAAATGTGAGAATGATAGCATGTATAATGAGATTTTATGAAAGAGTACACGAAGGTATAATAAAGTATGAATCGAAGTTGACCTATGAAGAGTATGTATCTGCAGAATTACGACTCATCAAAATAATACAAAGTGAAAGTTTTTGTAACAGAAATTATATCAATTTTCAAATATTCCAAGATGAGAATGGATTGATGAGAGTTAGAACCAAACTTGTTTATGGGGAAGAGGAAGACAATTTCAAGTTTCCTATTTTGTAACCCTACAAACATGAATTGGTAGAACGATTGATATCGGAACAACACAGACTTTTATTTCATGCTGGTGTTCAAACAGTTTTGGTAAAATTGAGACAGAAATTTTGGATTATGAAAGGTAGAAAGATGGTGAAGAATGTCGTCTCAAAATATGTAACATGCAAAAAATTTCAATCTAGATCCCTTGAAACTCGTTTTGTTTCTCTACCCAAGGACAGAATAAGCAATTCAGCTGCCTTTGAGGTGACTGGAATAGATTTAGCAGGTCCTCTTTTTTTGAGAAGTAGAGAGAAAGCGTGGATTGTTCTTTTTACATGCGCATTGTACAGGGCGTGTCATTTTGAAGTGGTGAAATCACTTTCCACAAAAGATTTTCTATTTGCTTCAAGGAGATTCATTGCTAGAAGTAGCTGAAGAGAAAATTGAAGAAAGAGATTCTCCAATTCATCCTCAACCATCCACATCTCAACCAATTTTTAAAGAGGAGAAAAAAGAAATTGTCACGACTTATGGACGTAAAGTTAACGCTCCCAAGCGTTATGGATTTTGATTTTGTTTTGCTGTCGCAAAAGGTGGGAGTATGTTGTGGATAGAGAAGAAAGAAGTTTTGATTTGTTTGTTCTGAAATACCTTCTAGATCTAGATATAGTTTGTTTCTATGTTGATAACTACTGTCAGATAAAAAATGTTATAGAATTGTCAATACACGTTTTCAAAAAAAGTCACAAAAGAAAATACTCATTATTTCTTGAGATTACTCCATAACAGTTATGGCGTCAGTGAGTCTATATGACAATATGCATGGCGACTTATTTTTTTTTCCTTGACCTCGGTATATTTTCCTGCTTTAATTTTCACTGATTTACCTATTGAAATTGAATATAACGCATTTCTTGATGAATTAGTACACAATATAAAAAAATCTACCAGTGGTATGTAGACAAAAGTGTTTTTCATTCATTTCATCAAAGTAAATTTTACTTACATGAAACATTATCATCATCAAAGGCGGACATCGATATTTCGAAATAAGACACCTGCCTGTTACCGAATACAGTACGTAATGATATTCATTCACTCATTCGATTCAATCCCAGCCATCATTCAAATCTTGTTCGAATTGAAAAAAGTATAATTTTAGGAGAGATTAACTTCTGGGAAAGAAACATTTTAACTTTATACTTTTCTATCTCTATAGAAAAAATGTGGGAAACTTCCAAAGAAAGAAAGTAATTGATTTCAAAATAAAATCTTCACGAAAATGTGTAGAAAAAAACAGTTTTTGTTGAAATGCACCTGATTCATTTTGTTGGTGTATCTAATTTACTGAATGTCGCATAATGGATTCAAATTTTGAAATATTTGTTCAAAATCAGTTTTAACAGCTCTAATGAATGACCACCTATTGGTGGTTGTTCATCATACAAATGATTTTTATAGAAATTTGATAATCACTGTGACGCCAATGAGCAACAAACTTTGTTGTGTTCGAATTTGTGTTGGTAATCTTCTATGAAAGCACAAATTTTTGTTGGATTGCTAACAAACTCAACAGTATATCACCATTTTTACTCTCTATTTCACTAGCCCAGTAAATATCAATCAAGAACAACAACTCTTTCAACATACACTGGTGAAATTTGTACATAGTAAAGAACGATCACAGAGGCATTCCTACGACAGCGTTGTCACGTATGGAGTTGCAACAAATTATACAGAATAATTCGGTAACATAAAACAAATTTTAAAACACATTGCACCAGTTCAGGTTTTAGAATGTTTGATGTCGATTTTCATTTCATGAACAAAGTTGTAATTTTGAGTTACTGAATGGAAGTTTAGACGAGTGGTGGTGGATAGTGAAGAACTATTACGGATTCGATATGACAACGCCCAGCTCAACAGCATAACTTCATAGTGTTCTTGAATGCCGACTGCACTTAATGAGGTAAATAAGTGGTCCATTTTATTTTACGTCCATGATCCAACAATATAACATTTTTGAAACATCAAGCAATATCATGAAAACACAAAATTCTTTTATACGTTTGTATTCAATTCCGAATTAGAAACTGAAACTCAACAGAAAAAGTCACTTTATCAAATGTTTGATTAGAGCCCCAGTAACTTGCACACAATGTTTCCTTCTTTACATTCTGAAAAATATCAGGTGTCAGTTGCTTACAGCACCTGGGTGCCAGGGCATTCAGGAATCACAGGTAATGATAAAACTGATGAATGCGCTAGACACGGATCATCAACTTCATATATAGGTTCTGAACTGATTCTGGGGGTACCAAAATCATTGGTACGAAACCAGATTAGGACATGGACCAATGAGAAGCACACAGAGTACTGGAAAAAAGTATCTGGCAACAAACACAGTAGAACCTTCATTAGGGAACCGTCCGAGAAAAGAACCCCAAAGAACTACTTCAATATATTAGGGATCGGCTCAAAATAATTACAGTGTTACTAAGCGGTCATTGTCCGCTTAGAGGACACCTGAATAAAATGGAGCTGTACAACGGAGACCTCAGCTGCAGATTATGCAACGAAGGGATAGAAACAGCTCCACACATCTTATGCGAATGTGAGGCACTGAATCACAGTAGGCAGGCAATATATGGACGTACAAAATTAGTTCCAGAAGAATATGACGAACATCCAAACGGAACCTATACAAACTAGTACAGGAAACGAGACTGATTGAATGGAATGGGTGTCATGAGAAGATGGGAGAATAAACGCTATGAGCTCAAGAGACTGCAGTGTTTTCTGGAGGCTCGGACTTAATGGACAAGTCAGACAACTCCCAAAGGACAAAAAAAAGCCTACACACCTAGTGATTTTTGTCCGTGAATTAACTACAGTATACGCAGGTTTTTTGATTTCAACGGTTTCCATAAAAAATCCTGGTGAAGTCAAATCGGGGTATCTGTGTGGTCATTCTGTAATAACTCGAGTTCTAAAATAACTAAAATAACTCGAGTTCAATTAAGATAGAAATAATAAACATTAATAATGAAACTAAGCTGACCGTCACAATTTCAGAATAATTTTAACATGAACATACACTTCAGCAGTAACTATATGATGAAATTTCAAGACCATATTGTATACTCAAACAAAAACTTTCCAACGTGAGTTCTTATTTCTGTTATTTTCATTAGTATCATCCAAAAGCCTTCAGTTTGAATATTCCGAATAGTGAAATTGTGCATTTAGATTGACGTTTCTTGGAATTGGGTGAAAAGTGTTTTACATTTTCAATTTCTGTTTATTATAATGTCAAAACTATGAGGGAGTCAGATACAAAATTGAAAGGCCTTTCAGGTATCGATTATAAATCTATTTGAAATTTTTGACTTGAGGCTTTTTTCGTAGATATGTGTCTGAAAATCTAACTAAAGCTTCACTATTTTTACGATTTCAGTGTCAAATAAGTATTTAGGGTGAATTGTTTCAACTAGAATGCACTGTGTGCAAATGATACTATGATATATTTTACCTGCATATCCTATTATGAAAACTGAATGTCTCACAGCAAATAGTTCTTCCAGTTGTACCACTTTCAATATGAAACCATCTTCTGGTTGTAGTTTAAGATCGACGGCAGTTTTCTTGATCATCTTTTCAAAATCCAAATTACGTTTTCGAGGTACATCCAAAGCGGGAAACAAATCTCCTATGAGACCCATAAATACCTGAAGTAAAAAACCCAAATATTAGTTGAACTTTTAAATATTTTCATCTTTTCACTTATATTTTTTTATTTCATATGTAACAGAAACCACAGAGGGTGAAAGCTGGAATCAGACTTCAAAAACAAAGTATTTGTGATCCAGTACTCGACATTGATGCTTCGACCCCATTATAGGTCTCAAGAGTGGTGCTAGGCTGAAGGAACACAATGCATTACTGGCTTTAGATACTGATTATTTGAATAAATTAGACTGAATATCATTTTCAGATATTTAGTAGATATGAACGATCTTGATTTATACAGAAATTCAATTACTAGAGAAATTTTTTTTTTGGCACTTTCGACGTACTGGGACCATGGGAGATATTTATCAGTGAACAATCCTAGAAATTTCATATATCTTGTATAATGTATCACTAATCCATTTGTGGTGTGAACACATGAATTGAATGTCAATTATTCACCAATCTCAACAGAGAATTATTCAATTAATTCTGAATTTTTTTAATTTATTGATTTCCAAACATTCATTATATAATTTATAAAACTCATGATCTTTTTGAAAAATTTTGTGCTCAATAATCTCAAGTAACCATTTTCCAGAAAATATATATTTCACAAATGAATGATTTTCTATAATAAATTACCAAATGACATCAAACAAATATCCAACATAGAACCTATCCATAAAATTATACAGGGCTTTTCATGATGAGCGTTAATTAGCCGTTTCTGACAAACTATTCAACGGATCAACCTGAAAATTTCACAGTATGCATAAATCAATATGACCTACACGCCTAAAATATTTCAGACGAAGCGGCGTTGTCGCTTCTAC